CTTGGGAAGCTGAAGCAGGAGAACCGCTTGAGCCTAGGAGAATGAAGCTGCAGTGAGCTGTGAAGACACCACTGCACTCTATACTCTAGCTGGGGCGACAGTAAGACTATCTCAAAAAAACAAAACAAAAGAAAACAAAAACGGATTGATGCAGAGAAGAAAACTGTACAGAGGATATTAAAGAGCCCAATTCCCAGGTGCCCATAGCTCAGTGGTTAGGCCACATGCTTCAGGGGCTGATGGGTTCAAACCCAGCCCAGGTCTGCTAAACAACAACAACAACAAAAAAAACAACTGGGTCTTATTGTGGGCACCTATAGTCCCAGCTACTTGGGAGGCTAAGGCAAGAGAATTGCTTGAGCCCAGGAGTTAGAGGTTGCTGTGAGCTATGACACCACAGTACTCTAGTGAGGTTGACAAAGTAAGACTCTGTCTTAATTAAAAAAAAATAGGCTCACTGCCTATAGCTTAAGCAGCTAGGGTGCCAGCCACACACACTGGAGCTGGCAGGTTCAAATCCAGCCCAGGCCTGCCAAACAACAATGAGAACTAGAACCAAAAAATAGCCAGCCATTGTGGCGGGCACCTGTAGTCCCAGTTACTTGGGAGGCTGAGGCAAGAGAATCGCGTAAGCCCAAGAGTTGGAGGTTGCCATGAGCTATGACACCACAGCACTCTACCCAGGGCGACAGCTTGAGACTTTGTCTCAAAAAAAAAAAAAAGAGCCCAATTCCCATGGAATAGGGAAAAGATGAATGTAAAAAACAGATGAAAGTAAAACGGGACTACGCCATAGAGGACATTAAAAGCCATTTAAATATCACAATATAAGTTACAAAAGAATAACATATTTATCAGGAGAGTGATAAGAAAAATAGAATAATTTGGATAAATCTTGGAGAAACATGAGATAAATGAGAAACAGAATGGAACTGGTAAAATAGTATCACAAACAACCCAGACCACAGTACCAGTAATTAAAATTCATTTGGTTTATGTCACCAGGCGTGGGAGTCCCAGGGAATCTAAAATATACTTAAACTTGTGTTTTAATCATTTGAAACATACTTCTTTTATGGTCTCTGTGGAAAGGGAAAATTTTCTTTTGAAAATTTTGAATAAACCAGTAACCACAGGCCATAAGTTACGATAGTATTTAAAGAGAATCTGTTGAGAGGGGAAAAAAAACAAATTGCTTACTGCAGTGACTTTCAGACTGCAAAGCAGTGGGCTACTCATTGCTCTTTAATGTAAAGATAATAGTATGAGTTGAAGAATTTTAAAAATTAGTTACTATGAAAAAATAGAAAATAAGGCCTGGCAGGGTAAATTTATGGGAACAGAAAGTTGGTGAGGCAAAGATGCTATGACAGCATGAAACAACTTCAGTCTTCAGAGTGATGAGGCTTTTGGGGAGTTAATCTGAAGAGAAGTTAAGAAAATGGCAGGGGATAACGCCTATAGCACAGTGGTTACTGTGCCAACCACATGCACCAAGGGTGGCAGGTTCCAACCTGGCCAGGGCCAGCTAAACATCAATGACAACTACAACAAAAAAATAGCCGCGCCTTGTGGTGGGTGCCTGTAGTCCCAGCTACTTGGGAGGCTGAGGCAAGAGAATCACTTAAGCCCAGGAGTTGGAGGTTGCTGTGAGCTATGATGCCATAGCACTCTACCCAGGGTGACAGCTTGAGGCTCTGTCTCAAAAAAAAAAAAAAAAAAATTAAAATTAAATTCTTTTTAAAATTCTCCTCTAAAAGTTAAGAGGAAATTTTTAGAAAGATATTAATATTACCAAGTAAAACAGAAAAATGCACAAGGTAGATACCCCAAGTTATCAGTGAGAATAAAGATGCAAGGTAGGCTATATGAGGAAGAAGAGAGGTAAGTGGGTTTTTTGGTTTTTTTTTTTAAACAGTCTCCCTGTCACCCAGCTAAAGAGTCACATCATCAGCCTAGCTCACAGCAACCTCACACTCCTGGGTTCAAGTGGTCCTCCTGCCTAAGTCTGTTGAGTAGCTGCGACTGCAGGCACCTGCCATAACTCCCAGCTAGTTTTTCTATTTTTTAGTAGAGACAGGGTCTTACTCTTGCTCCGGCTAGTCTCGAACTTGGAATAAGTTTTTTTATAAAAAGAAAACCTGAGACTCGGTGCCTGCAGCTCAGCGGCTAGGGCACTGGCCACATACACTGGGGCTGGTGGGTTCAAACCTGGCATGGTTCTGCCAAACAACAATGACAACTACAAGAAAAAAATAGGTGGTTTTGTGGTGGGTACCTGTAGTCCCCGCTTCTTGGGAGGTTGAGGCAAGAGAATCATTTAAGCCTAAGAGTTTGAGGTTGCTACCAGCTGTGATGCCACGGCACTCTACCCAGGGCAACATAGTGAGACTCTGTCTCAAAATAAAAAGGAAACCTGAGTATGATGTTAATATAAGTTTTCTTTTTTAAACTACATATACTTAATACTTATAATCTGTCAACTATTTGAAATGTTTTGCACGTATAAACTCATATAATCTTCACAGGAAACTTGAGGTAAGGACTAATATTATTCTTATTGTATAAAGATAAGTGTGCTACAGAAGAATTTGCCCAAAGTTAGACAGTGATTAGTGGAGTAATGGCTTCAAATCTACACAATGTGACTATATTCTAAGGACTAGCTCTACAGAAAAAGATCTGGAATTGTGGTGAAAAGGGAAGAAAAATGAGGATTTTTGGAATTAAGAGAATAGAAACAAAACAAGGACCTAGATGAAACAGGCAGTGTGAGGAGCCAGAGTGGAGAGGAGACGGACATCCCTCCATAGAACAGCTGAGCAAAGAGAAAAGAGCACCTGTGTGAGTGAGGCGAAGGCATCATATGGGGAGCTGATGTATGTCAAGTGTACCCAGTCACTTCCGAAGGTGTGTGGCTTTTAAGAGGTGCTTCCTCTAAGTATTTCTAAGGTCAATGACTAATTGGGATCTCAATTTCAAACACCCCCATCTGATTCTCTCTCACTCACCTGGATGGCTCCAGTGTGGCTTCCCTCTCTCCGCCCTCCAGGGCTCTTGTCCTTGCTCCACTTTGAAGATCACTTTGGTTTTGGTAACTGGACATCCTGTTGGTAGGAAGAACATGGAAGTGTGGACGGAGTGCTAGGTGAACAATTACCTCACAACTCAGGTCAACCTCCATCAGTCCCAGGGCCTTTGAAAGATGACAAGTGTGCTTTAGAACAGAAAAGACCTTTCGGCTCGGTGCCTGTGGCTCAAGTGGCTAAGGCACCAGCCACATACACCTAAGGTGGCGGGTTCGAATCCAGCCTGG